GAGCAGCTCATCAGAAAAATTTTGGCGAGTAAAGCAAAAGTTGTCAACCCGGATGCAGGCACAATAGTGAAAAATGCTCCTTTGGCTTGGTTTCTCGAAATGCTATGTTCAATCCAGCTGAAAATTGTTTTTACATGTACGAGACACTACTTAGTATGGATATCTGTTTTGCTTCAGGAAAACAATATCCATCGTAAACAGTGTATAGTATATGTGAAAAAAGTTTTAGCTCGATTGGACACACTAGATTGTTGTGAAAAAGTTGATTGAAACAAACGTAAAGCAAAATGAATTTATGACACCTTTTTAGGTATTTAATGGAAAATAAACTAATGGAATTTCAACCTGAGATTCTACCCCTAGATACGTCGAATGATTCATACAATATCCTGAAAGTTTCAGTCGAAAAGAATGTTGTTATATTGAGATATTGAATTTTCAAGTAAACTCGATATATGTATCACGCCTGTGACAAGCGATTATTTTTTTGGAAATTTGATATCTGAACAAGAATACAATATTTTCGGCTGAAACTTTCTAGATATTCTATGGATTATCTAACCTATTCATGGACAAAACTTTAAGTCGAAATTCCGTTACTTCATTTTTTATCGAATATTCAGTAAAATGATCATAATTTGAGCCCATAGGTTCATGAGGTTGAACCGTTTTAGACTTTTGTTAGTCTTACAAAAGCATCTTTGTAGGTTTCAAACGGCAAGTGTATGAGTTCGGGTGATTCCCTCGTAAACCTAAATGACTTATTCAAAACTCGCTGTCTATTCAAGTTTTAATTCTCCGCATCATCTTCAGAATTAGAGAATCGATACTTTTTTTTGTTGTAATTAGTAATTATGTATCTAATTGTTCTATAGGTGAAAAAGTGGTTTATATGCCACGATTAAAATCTGAACAAACTGGTATCTACACATGTATTGTAGAAAATTCTATTGGTAAAGTTAATCAATCGATTTATCTTGATGTTGAATGTAAGTTTATATTAGAAAAGAATTAATTCACATAAATATTTCTTTTAATATAGATCCACCTCGTATTCGATCTATTGAATCTCGTATTCTAGTAAATCATTCTGATTCTATTGTACTTCGTTGTCTTGTTGATTCAAAGCCATTACCATATAAAATAATATGGTTTAAAAATAATTCAGAAATCTTTCGTGATAAGCAATTAGCTGATTTACATATCAATCATGTTGAACGTAATAATTCAGGTCTATATACATGTCTTGTATATAATCGGTTTTATAATAATCAAACAAGAAATAGTTCAAATACAATAGAAGTTATTGTACAAAGTCGACCAATTATTGAAACAACATATTCAAAAATAGCAGCCGAAGTTGGTCAGTCAGTAACATTAACATGTCGAGTAATAGGACAACCAAAACCAAATATTATTTGGAAATATAATGAACAAATAATTTCATGTGATGAAATAATAAATGATATATGTTATTTACATTTTCCAAAAATAACAATGCAAGATTTTGGAACATATCAATGTATAGCTGAAAATTTATTAGGAAAAGAAGAATGGACTTATACAATTGTATCACGTGGTAAGATTTAATTTTTAATTTTTGTATTTTAAATGAAAGAAATTTCTTTCTAAAGGTAAACCAGAAACACCAAAAAATATAATTATATTAGAAGTAACATCATTTTCATTTAAAGTTCAATTTTCTCCATCATTCGATGGTGGTAGTGGATCTCAACAATTTATAATTCAAGTTACTGATTCATGGAATTCATCAATTATTACTCAACAAATACCTTCCAATACTTATGAATATTCTGTCAAAGGTAGAAACATTATATTTTATTATAAAATGTTAAGTTGCGCATCTTATCCATGTGGTATGTTTATTCGTAATATCGTGAAGAGTTTAGAATAATAGTTTATTATTATCGAGATACTTTGTTTTTTAGCACTATGTCATAATTTCTGTCAAGAACATCAAAATAACTAAGTTTCAAATTTCGACTTGAAACTTGACATGAAGGCATGCCTTAATGAGAATAGTTTATCATAAAAGTTTCGGATCTTTTGATTGCTTGTATTCTAAGATACCAGCTATGGTAAGGGCATGTTTTTCATACTGCTGATTACCAACGATACATTCCGATGTTCTTATTTCAGAACAGACGCAATCATAAAATCGGAAACTTTCACAATAATCTATTCTCGTTAAGACCTGTGTCTGTGTGAGGTTTCAAGTTGAAATTCTAGACTCAGTTTTTCTGGTGTTCCTGACAGAGATCACGGCATTATAATTGCTGAACAATACAATATTTCGTCAGTAATAAGCTATTAGCCCGAACTCTTCTCCTCCCTATTAGTGCAATCATTGGGCAATGGTCTTTAATTTAATACTCGACATGAAAAAGATGAGATGGTTTTTCGGTCTTAACTTCAACTAGAAAAGGGTTATAAGATCGAGATATTTTGTTGCAATAAAGTTATTTAGTTAGTCCATTCATTGAAGTAAAGATAAATAGATGGTAGAATAACACGAGATTGGATCTTTCACAAACAATAGAGATTTTCCCTTTGTCTGTCAGGCTATGTATCTTGAACAAAAGACTTTAGTAGTTAGAATGAGGATCCATAGAAAGTTTCTCATGACATTTAAATGTATCTACTACGATATCAATTTTTGATAGAGAAGAGAGTATTAAACAATTTTTAAAATATACAGTACTCTCTCTACTTTTAATCATGTTTACAAAGGATATTTTTAGGCCTCGGTGAGATTCAGATTATTTTTTTCAATGTTTATTTTAATAATGTTTTCGGATTATGAGCGAAAGCCATCGTCAGCTTCTTTTATAAATATAAGTCATAGACGTAGAGCAACAAAGATTGCAAGTATATAGTTACCATTATTCTTGAAATATAAACTTCGAAAATGTTTGCAATGAATAGTTGAATACAATATTGAAATTTTAGTTTTCAAGAAAATAATATCCGATTGAGATGAAATATATGAGTCTGAAAGTTTCAATTCAATCTTCGATTCAACTATGAAAAAAAAAAGAAACTTTTAAACAATATTTTCTTTTTTCGTTTGAAAAAGGTTTAAATGAATCAACATTATATAAACTTCGTATTAAATCAACAAATATCTATGGTGAAAGTCCTTGGAGTCATGAAATACCTATACATACAAATGAATTAATTATTACATCAGACGGTATTGGTTCTTTTTTTCGTTTAATTTATTTTGTATGATTTTATTTTTGATATCTATTAGATTTACCGCAATTACATGTTGTATCATATAATTCAAAAGAGAATATACTTCAATTTAATTATTTACCTGATAGTTCTCGTTTATTAAAATTAAATGAAGAACAATTATGTTTAAATATTCGTCAATCATCAGATGGAAAAATTTATCAATCAATTCAAGAATGTTTATCAATATTAAATAATCGTGTACAATGGAAAATAGAAAAAGAATTTTCTTATGTAAAATTATCCATTTGTTCAAAAAAATATAGACATATATGTGGAAAAGAAACTGAAATGAATGGAGGTAAAATTTATTTTTATTTAATTTGTTTTTATTAAATTGAAGTTTCTTTTATTAGAAACAAAAGATCGAAATTCAACAGCAATGCTTGTTGGTATTTTTGTTATGACAAGTTTTCTTATTCTTGTTATTATAATTATTATTGTAATTATATGTTCTCGAGCAAGGAAACATCGATTAAAATCTAATGTAAATAAATGTAAGTATGAACGGATCAACGGTTGAAAATGATCAACCACAGATATATTAAAAGAAGCCACTATTGTGACTGAGCAAATAATTTATTTCAAAGGGTATTTACAAATAGAGATGTAAGCTGATCGGTTGAGACGCCATTACTTACTGATGACTTCAGGATTTTATGACATATCTCAGCTGAAATCGTCAATGCTCTAGCGATCCGATCGCACCGCTATCATTCCCATAAACAGTTAATAAAAATTACAACCGCCGCCGATAAATTTTAAACACTTGTAGTCGTCGATTAATATATTGACTTAATTTCTATTTGCTAACGTAAAGATGAAGGAACAGCTTTAAATAAAGTGAATTCTTTTTATACATTCATATAGATTTTATTCAGAGAAATTATTTTATTTCATTTTTAGTCGGTATGAATGCTTTTGACAAAGGTGTTAAACCGTAAGTATAATTTAATTATAAGAAAATATTCTATGTTTATTTGATTAGAATTATTTCTGAACCACGTCTTCAAAATCCGTATCTATTGTATAGCAATTCTAATACTCATTCATCTTCAAACAATTATGAATATCCAGAAAAAAATATACCAAATTCATGTTCTCATTCATGTGAGTTTGCAATCATTTGTTTTGTTTTTATTTAATAATAATAATGTTTCCTAAATGTATTAGGTGACATTATCGATGGCGAACAATCAAAAGATGATGTGCAATGTAAATATCTTTTTCTTTTTCTTTCAATGTAAATCAAAAGGAAAATAATTGATTCAATTTGTTTTTGATTTAAATTTTCATACTTTCAATTGACATTTAACTGAAAATTTCTATGATTTTAGACGGAACAGCAATGCGTACAGCAACAATTCATACATCACCTCATTGGAGTCGTAGTAATTCTCGATCTGGTTCAAATCCATCATCAGAATCAAGTTGCATAACTCAACATACAAATATACTTTTTGGTAACAATGAAACACATACAAATCCAAGTTCAATATTAATATCTCAATATGGTTTTCCATCGATAATTTCACCTTTAAAAGAACGTTCTTCAATCATTCAAAGTTCATCTTCAAGTGAAAATTCAACACCAAATCGTATGAAAAAACTTTTTTACGAAGTAGTTGTTTAGCCGTAACCTGTGATACATTTTTTTTTGTTAATATGTTTCATTTTTGATTTAAATGTATTTCAATATAATAGAAAAAAAAAGCAAGAAGAGTTCAAAGTTTTTTTTATATTTACGAAGTAACATAACCAGTTGTTTTTATTCGACGTAATTCTCTTAATGTAACAGCACGTCGAAGACGTTCAAGAATTTTTTCACTTGCTGCATGTAATTGATTTAATTGTTCAATAGCTTTATAACCTTTTCCACCTTCTAACACTTGACTCATATTAAAAACAATTGTTTCAAGTGGTTGTAAACTATTACGAAATTCACGTGGACTATTTCCATAACCTTCAGCGGCAACAGCTATAAATTCACATACACAATGTAAATATTCAATATATTTAACCATTTCAAATAAATGTCGTAAAACAGATTCACGTTTATCTATTTGAGATTTAATATGTGTACTATTAAATAAACTTCCTTTATCTAATGGTATTGTACCAAGTAAACGTTTAGCATTTTCTTTTTGTTTAGGATGATTTTGAAGAATACGCTGATGTCGGTGAAAAATTGCATCAAAATAAAATCGTCGAGATTGACTATGTTGTTTAGCTATAGTTTCTTCTTGTAATGGTATAATTTCTTTTGGACAACGAAATGTTCCATCCGGTGCATTATGATCTTTCCAATAACCTGTACAACTCCAACAAAATTCAGCACCACATGAACATGTCATATGATTACAGCCACCTATGACAAAAGAATACATTTGAATTTAATATAGATTGAATGGAATAAAAATCAACTAACCATTTTTTTCAATAAAATTATTGCATGATACACAATTTCGTCCTTTTATTTGAGTTATAGCATTATAATCAGATATAAGATCTCCATTTCGAAAGACTTCGTCCATATATAGACGATATGCACTACATGTTGCTGGAAAATGTGGTTCTTGTTTACAATTTATACAAAATCGATGACCACAACGACAACGTATATAATCAATACGTGCACCAATTACTTGAACAATATTTGAACATGATTGTAATGGACATTTTACATAAGAACGAGATAAATTTACAAGACACTTTTCTATATTACGTTCATAAATGTTCATACAACGAACATTAACCAATGATAACATTGTACCTATGAGCAGAAAAGATGGTTGAAATCTTATATCGTTTAATACAAAAAATATATTTTAAATCAATTGAATAAATTCTATTGAAAAAAAATACATAGATCAAAATTAATGTTTTTATAGTATTCCGTAAGACGCATCTCTAAGAATGCGAATAGCTCCCCGTGGTCATATATGGAATATGACGATAGTTGGGTGCAGTGAGTATGTATTCCTCCACTTTAAAGACAATGTCATTCTTTTTCAGGATTTGAAGGAATTTTTCAATAAGTCCGCAAGCATTTTGGAATAAATTACTTGTTTTTTCTTCGTTACATTTTTATTTCGAATAGATTTTCATCTTCAACTTTTCTTCTTGTCTAACTTTGTTTGATTTCTTTCAAGAAAAAATCTTACCAACATCAACCATTGAGCAACAATTCCATTCTGGACAAACAACAACATTAACACGTTTAATAGAATTTTCAAGATATTGTTTCCAACAATCATTACATAACCAATGTGCACAGGATTTCAATGCAGTCATAGGAATTGTTTCATTCATATCACGATAACAACTTGTACAAATATCTGGTTTAATTAATTCATATTCATCTATTGATATGTCAATATTATTTAATTGTTGTTCATTTTCAATTGTGATTTGTGTTTGTATTTCATTTCTATCTAATAATTGTACTTGACGAATTTGTTTATTAATAAATTCACTTTCACTTAATTCACTATCTTCATTATTTTCAATAAATTTTTTTCGATTTATTTCAGAATCAATTGGTTTAAATGTATCAAATGGTAATATTGTTATAAATTCAATTGTTTTTTCAATTAAATCATTTATTTTATATATTGATTCTGTTGATTCAAATAAATTTTCAATTTCAATTGTATCAGCATATAAATCCATATTAAGACCAACTTGTACTCGAAGAAAATTTTCATCATTTGATATATCATCATTTAAAATAATAATAAGATAAGAATTAAGTATTGAATAAATAGGAAAATATTGAAATTTATTTAACCATTTATATGATTTTAAACGATCAGTTAAACAAATTAAATATTTTGTTGGATAACATTGAGCATGAATAAAATTTTTTCCAAATTTTTTTGTTAAATAATCAATATTTAAATCATTTTTCGTCACTAATATTGAACGAAATGATAATGACATTAAATGATGATGAAATTTTTCAATTGGTTGAATATTTTTACCATGATCTTTTTGCTAAATTAATAAATAACAATTTTTTGTTAAAAAAAATCAAGGAAACAATAAGATTAAAATAAAAACAAACAAACCGTTTGAAGATAAACAGCTTTATCACGATTATAAAGTTTTTCTTCTCGACTTATTTGTTTATGAAATTTTTTTGAATGTTTTGATGTATCAATATCATCAAGATAAAAACATGAAGATTTTGGATCAAATTTATTTACTGTTACTAAATTCTCAGTTATTGATGATATTGGAATATTCTCATTTGTTGTTGATACAATAGAAATAAAATCATTTAAATGTAATTTAGCCGGTATTTGTGAAGTATAAGTCTATAAATAAATCATTTCAGTTGAAAATAAATAATAAGAAAGTAATAAGAATATTTACAGGTGTTGTTGGTACATCATCATCATCATCATCATCAGTAGATGTTTGTTCTTTATCATCTTCTAATTGTTCAATAACATCCAAACGATCCTTAACTTGAGTAAATTTCGAACGTTGAATACTTGCTACAGCTTTTTTAGCTATGATTAACGAATCATATATTAGATATATAGAAATATTTCTATATCAATACCTTTCGTGCCATGTTGTTTTCGAATATTGATTAATTGTTTTTCCTTTGGGGGTGGTACAACAGCATAATAAGTAACATCAGCATCAGTTCTTTGCTGGGTATTATCATTTGCAACATTCACATGTGTTACATCATGTTGTCTTGATTTTGATGTATTCAATGGACTTTGCATATAGGTTTTTTTTGGTACTTGTGCACGTTGTTGACCTGTATTACTCGTAATACTAACACAATTAGCTTGTTGTTCAGTATTATGAAGTTCATATAAAAGATATTTTGTTTGATGAGTATTTCTATTACGTCGTCGAGTTTTTTTCTTTTTTTGTATTGGATTTTTAGGACATTGTTCAGAATCTGATTGCACATCAAGTTCATCGTCTGATGATGAACTTGATTGATTAGTTATATGTTGACGAAAATCATTTAAAACTTCCCATCGTTGTTTTTTATTTAATGAATATTCAATATTAGGTTGTTGAATACCAAATGGATCTTGTTTTTCAGAAATATTTTTTTTAGTTTTTTCATTCGTATTTTCCCATATTGCATGTATATATGATTTATTTGATGGTTGATTTGGATTATGATGTAAAAAAACACTTTTACCACCAGCAGCTACACGCTTAGTTGGTCGTAAGTTTGGTTTTTCGTCATTACTGTCGTTCGAAGCCATTGTACGATATCAACTTAACTAATCTACGCACTAAATAATTATCACGAGCATTGAAATGCGCTTCTTTTTTTATATACTTTAAAATGACATGATTCATACCAGGCATGAATATTGTATATACATCAAATGCTTTTGTTATTGCAAAATTTTTACTGTTCTTATATATTCTTTTGATGTCATTGAAACATTTTGATTACTACATAAGCACGTGACTGATAAAGGTGAGGGAGTGTTTTCATGTAAATTTTATTATTGATCAGTTTATTGAAAAGTATTTTCAAAGAAAAAACAATTTCATTGCATTTTCTTCTATAAAAAATTCAGATTTCTTTCTTTCATCAAATACTCGTATAGAAAGTGTTAAAAAAATGTCGCTTATTCTCCGTCATGTTCTGCCCTCTTTCTAGAAAAGCATATGATTGAATCTCAAGTACAGAATGAATGATAGTAATCTACATTTGCCTTATGTTGCTTACATTACCATCAAATAGAATCTCAATAATAACTTTCAACTGGTTATACTAAGGATATTTTTTTTCTTTCCATACATTTATTATTTGTATAGTGATTATATGTATTAAGAATTATAATCGTTTTAGAAATTGAAATTTGATTATTTGTTATTATATATTATATAATAATGCAATCTACACCATTTTCTACGTCAACATCTTCATCATGGGTGACATCGAATAATTCAAAGTAAGAAATAATTGAATTTTCATTGCTTTCAAATTTTAATTGATCATATAGTTTAAATACAAATAATTCAAATTTTTGGTCAAATGGAGGTTTTCGAAAACGTAAAGCAGCTGCAAGTGAATTAGAAGAAAAGTAAAATATAAATTTTTTTTTCTATATTTAATTTTTTTGTTTTTAAATAATAATAGAACAAATCAAAAAATGTTTGTAACAGAAGAAAAAATGCTCAAAGAAATGCAAACACTTTCATTAGATTTAGTACCTCCAGATAATAATACTATACCAATACCAGCATCATCAATCAATGAGTAAATTAATCTTTATTTATTATATTTAAAAATTTATTTTATTTTTTTTCTTATCATTTTAGCGAATTGATTATTGATGAAATACCAACAAATAAAATAAATGAAGATGATCATAATGATGAAGATGATGATGATGATGATGAAAAAGAAAAATGTTCAGAAGAAACACGTTTTGAATTACATAAATTATTAAAAGATTCTTTAAAGAATGATGATTTACAAGATAGTTTATTAAACAAACTTTGTGAAATCGAACGGTAGGTTTTTCTGTCTCTTTAAGCGAATAATCATGAGAACATAGAGTAAATGAAACATTGGATAACATTTTTTTTTTAAATTAGTCGAAACTGACTTTTCACGAGAATCATATCCTTATGAAAAAAAACCCTGTTCAACTTATGCTTGTTTTCATCTTAATGAATAATTTAAAATTTTTTCTTGTAAACTATATTTAGGAAAAAACTGGATAAAATGAGCTATTTCGACAATACTCTTTGACCAGCTCAAGTTTTAAAAAGCTAACATGAATGAAAAATTACTCTATTGATAGGCTTTAAATATATTATTTGATATTGCTTGCCGAAATTCGTAAACGAAGAGTTTCAAGCTTAGTTTTACACATGGTATGCTCGAGGCGAAACGGAATTTACAGCTATCTCTCACATAATAGTTTTTGATGACTTTTCAATAAAGCAACAAAATAAATATGACATTCAGAATCAGCATCAAACATTATATTGAGTGAAACACATTTCTGAAATTTTTCTTTCTACAAAAAGCTCACTCCTGTGGAGATACAACGCAAAATTTTAACAGAACACAGCCATGAAAGACCAAAGGTGAATTTTTCTTAGGAAAATAGTTTCTCTAAAATGTGTTTGATTCAATGTATTTTTTTTGTGCTGATTCCGAATGTCATATTTATTTTGCTTTTCTATTGAAAAATCATCAAAAATGATTATGTAAGAAATAGATGTGAACTCCGTTTCACCCTGAAGATATTATTTATTTTTTCAATATTTTTTTTACCTTTTTGCAGAGAATAAAACGTTGCGTAAAAAATATCCCCTGAAAAAAAAACAGTTAAACTTAGTATTTTTACAAAAGTAATTATATATTTTGATAGCGCGCGGAATTTTCTACAGTCGTATAAATGAACATTGTGAATTGCATTTGTTCACTAATATAGAAATCCAAGCACATTGGAGCCACCCTCATCATTAAATTCTCGGGAAATGTATTTTTTTTTTCTTTTTCAAATTTATTTAGAGATAGTAACAAGCTATTACAAAAGTCAGTATGTATTCTGAAAGCAAGTGAAATTCTCTATTAGTCTGTACTTTTGTCAGTTTTTTGTTGTCAATTATTTGATGACGAATATTATTAATATATTCTTGCTCTGACACCATCACCCTTGATGACTTCATGTAACTCATACAGCAGTTCATGAATGATTATCTAGTAATGACATAAGATTTATTAATAATTCTTCGCCTGTCAGTCCTGATCTTAATGTTATTCATAGTTTTTTTGTCACGAACGACTCATTGTATATCGAGATATCCTTCAAATTCTGAACAAGATTTGGCCTAGAAATCTGACGCGTGAATAAATTAACAATATTCAAAATGTTTGCCATCATATAATTGAAAATCAAGACTGGAAAAATATAGGATGACATAGAAATTCACGTACTTTGAGAATATATACTTATTTTTGTAATAGTATGTTGATATATCTAAATAAATATGAAAGGGACAGAAAAGAAATAAATTTCCGGGGCAATCTGACGACAAGTGCTTTTACTGTGCTTGAATTTCTATGTTAGCGAACAACTGCAATTCAAAACGTGCATGTATAGGACCGTAGAGAATTCCGTGCGTTGTCAGAATATATAATTACTTTTGTAAAAATATTCAGACTAGCTATTTTTCTTCCAGAGAGAAATAAAATTTAGCCTAGAACTCTTTGATTCTGAATCCCGACAGGCAATATCAAATGAATATTTTAGGCCCATCGAATGAGTCGTTTTTCATTCATGTTAGCCTTATAATAAAATATTTAACTACTTCAGCGAAACAAAAATAAGCATCACTTTTACAGTCTATTTTTTTCTCATAACCATACGATAGTGGGAAAAAGTCAATATTGACTAACTTTTGAAAGAGAGGTTAATTAGACTCTAAGATTTTGAGGTTGATGGTTTCAGACAGTTAATGCATTGAATGTACAAAAAAGTTTATTTTTTCATCAAATGCGTTGCATAATCGATAGTCTCATGATTGTTCGCTTAAATTCTATCGAATTAAGTATATATATATATTTAGGAGAAAATTAACAATGCAAATCGTACCTTACATGCCAATTCATCCAACTCAATTAAATAATGATAATACAACAACAGATGAGAAAACAAAAGAAAAAGAAGAAGACAAATTAGTTGATGATAAAATTTCATTTTCTGCTATATCGGATGAAATAAAATATGAAAATAATGATCATCTTTTTAAAATACCATCAATACCAACACCTTATACAGTCGAAGAACCACCATGCGATAATGTAACAAAACGAAGTTCAACGATGAAACGGTGAGAAGGTTTTAATTTAGATATGTTTTCTTGTATTGATAATGATTATGAATTGTTTTGTTTTACAGAAGTTATTCTCAATCAAATCAACATAATAATAGTTTATTAGTAACTGAATTAAAACCAGACGTCGACGATTTTTCAACTAGTCATCAATCACAATCAGCTTATTTTATTATTGAACCAACTACAACACCGTAAGTCACATAAACTGATCCTCTCTATTTTATATGAATATTGTAATCGATTGAAATTCAAACTTGTTTAATTTTGATTTATTTCGTGATTTTGGAAGAGTATTTGTTTATCTATAGGAAGATCAATTGTAGTGAAAAAACTCACTTCGACATTACTTTTACTTAATAAAACTTCAATAGGGAATTTTTAAAGTAGACATAAGCGAGATTAATCCTTTCTGTCTCATAAATACACAGTCATATATACAAAAAAAAAACAAAGTTATGTAATGTTCGATTACTATTACGTCTTACTTCTATCATAGAGAATTTATATTTGTTTATTGTAAAACTTTGTGTGACAATATCGGAATTTTTTGTCTCTTTAGTCGTATTCATCAATGGACCGAGACCGATATGACGTTTATGCCTATAGTTAGTACATAGTGTTCTAATAAAAGTCCTAAAACGATGTAGGTTTCTATTGATCTGTCACTAAGCTATCGAATTTTTTTCTAAAGATCTCAGATTTTTGTAAAAGTCGTATTTTCGAATTTTGATCTGAAAGTTTTCTTCTATAGACAACTTCACTGGACTAGTTTCCATAACAATATTCAGAAATTTTGAACAAAATCTCTTCAAAATATGAACGTTGTTCAGAACTTCTAAACTCTTTTTATGAAAGCTAGTCTAGCTGATGTCTTTCTATATATGCAAAGGTTCAGATCAAAATTCGGAAGTATGAATTTTCTGAAAATCTGGGGCGTCTGGAAAAAAATTCGATAGCTTATTCAAATCCGAATATGTTAAGAGCTGTTATTAGAAAACATCAGTCAAATTGTATTTTTCTTTAGCTATGTAACATATTCACTAAATGTTTAGTTTTCAAATCTATACGGAACAAAGGAAAGTATTTTTTATGACTCATGATTGTGTATGGTTTAGTGCTCCAGTCATAACCAACATACGTCAGATGCTTCAAGTGAATTTTGTTACTTTTTTGTTTGAATAGTGGGAAGAGACAAGCTAAAACAACCTAACAACACTATTATAAAATTCCTTTTTATTGTCCTTTTAGTTTATCTCAATCATTATCAAATCCATCATCTTCATCACTTTCATCTGATGGGCCATCGATTCGAATATCAGAATTTGTTGAAAATTCATCATCAAGTAATGAATTTGGAAATATATTAGATGATGATGATGATATTGATATGCAATCAGTTGCTTCATCGGATACAGGGGATAAAATGGATGATGATTAAATGAGGAAAAAAAAGAAAATTTTTTTTTCGAAAACCATCATTTATATATGCGATATTACTATGTTTGTGAATATATATATAACGGGTTTATTTGTTAAAATTAGTTTAATACATTTTCAGATAAAGTATTTCATTTTATTTTCAAAAATATAAAAATCTGTGATACTTATATATATATATATAATCCATGGCATCTGCTCCAATGACACAGAGTCATATAGATACTAATACGAGTATGTCATCTGAAATTCCAACAACTCATCATACGCATCAATTTGATTTAAAAAAAGTACGAGATGCTTTTGTTAATTGTATTCAATCAGATAATAGACTTTTTCTTATGGAATATATTCGTGCTTATGAAGAATTATGCATGTAAGATTTCTTTTTTTCCGAAAAAATACATAATAATTTTTTTTTCTTTAGTTTTGTTTGCTCTCTTGGTCCTGTTTTTGAATGGGCAATAAAAGATTTAAATAATAAATTAATTATTCTTAAAGAATATCAACATATTGATCCAATTAATTATGAATCTATACAATCTATGATTGATTATGAAGTTAAAACGGGACGTGTTAAAACAAGAGAAACAACAGTACATAGTAAATCAGGAAAAATTTTACCAAATGGTTGTCGAACATTATTAAGATTACATCGAGCACTTGCTTTTATTTCATTATTTTTAAGTCAAATGCGTACAGCACCTGATGATGCAAGTTCAGCATCCATTGCTTGGAATGCTTATTCATCAACACTTGGACATTTTCATTCATGGCCTGTTAGACAAACGTATGAGTGATTTTGAATTTCTTTAACAGTTTTCTCAAGTTTTATATCTGTGTTTGAAACTGAGTTGAAAATTCAGGGATTGATTTAAATTTTATATCAAAATTTTTAAAGAGTAGATAATAAAAGTGAAATCAATACTGGATAGTCTACTGTTTTACATCCCCGGACAAATTGCCGTTGACTAAATACAAACACAAATAATGAAGAGTTCACATATTGCTAGTCGACACTGAATTATGATGAATGGTGTCCAATTTTATTTAGAGCTTCATAACATACGAGATAGCATTCGCAGGTGTTTTCATTCTTTTGAGCTAATATTTTGCTCATAAGTAAGTCTTAATGAGCTCTAAAAAGCCTTCAAAATGTTTGTGTTAATGAGTGTTCATTACTGAGTTTTTTCCATGCACATGAAAGTCATGTCAAATGCTTTTTAGGGACTATTAAAAGCTAGACGACTGTAAAACCTTTTTTGAGAGTGATCTTTTAAAATTATAAATCTTGGAATGTGATGCTAAGAACATAAGATAATAACGGTTTCTTTTATAGTCCAAACTTCGACGGCGAAAAAAGTCATTCGTCATGCGTTCCTTAACCTTTGTGCTTATGTTTCAAGTTCCAACTGTAATGTTAGGGACAACTGATCAGTTATTGATGTATCTTATTTATTTTTCTTCTTCAATGAGATATTAGTTCATTGGTACTTATCGTAAGTAGTCACAGCAAGCTTACGCAATTTTTTTTCTCGATTTTAAACATGCATGTGTAACTATCTAACGATCAGATGAAAGGGAAAATATTAAGTCGAATTACTAATGCACACATATACGTTGTTGTTTTTTTCTATCTTTAGAATACATACTGCTATTCGATTGACAGTTCCTAATCGTCATACATTAATCAACAAATTACTGAATAAACGAAGTTACGAAGAAATCGATACATTGGCTATTGATATTGTAGAATCATGTAATAAAATTGAGAGTATTACACAAGAACTTTATGAAATGCATCGTTTGACTAAATTACCTTAATCTGTATATTTGCTTATTTAATTTGTGTGATCTATTATTAATAACCATGAATGGTTTGTGAATGTAAACAGTTCATCTTGTTGGTTTGCTTCTTTCACTTATTTCCATTTCCGTAATACTTTAGAAAAAAATTGACTCCTACGGACAATGGCCATTTTTTCTGGCTATTTGATGGCTTATAACAGATATACATCAAAGAGTTTAATATTCAAGCACTGAACAAACAAAAGTTTTTTGTTTCTTTGAATATTTTTGATTTAGTTTCTATTTCGAACGAATTTAATAAATGAAAATAAACTTTAATTTCACATGTCCGATAAAAGACAGAAATTATTTTTTTTAAGTTAAAGAATCAGAAGATATCAAATTACCTATTGGTTTCGGTCAAAATAAATTGGTTCTACTGATACGAAGAAAACAAATCGATAACTACGTAACAGAATAATCCTAATTGATGTAAATCGTCACTCGTCTTAGTATGCACATTTTATCTTATCCTCAGAAAGATAAGAACGAAAAAACAATGTTCTGATGAAATTATGACTCCTATTTTTTTTAAGAATATTTGAAATTTCGACAATTTCGAGTGTTTTATATAATATCATTCCAAGAAAACAAATTCGTTTAAAACATGACATCAAATATTATACCTTATCCACCGACAGGAAATGATCATCGAATAATATTAGCTGGTACAGATTTGATATTTGAAAGTATTGATAACATTTTCGTGTATCCATCATTACTCGACATCGATCGATTAAAAAAAGCTCTCAGTCGTACATTATCTATTTGGCCTATCTTAGCTGGTCGAGTTATAGTCAATGATGATCAATATCGAATTGAATTTTCTGATCAATCGATTCCATTCACTTATACCGAAAACGATCAACTAGAATGTTGGCCTAATCTACCTGTTGTTATCGATGATGCAACAATATGTGAACCTTTTATTGATGTTGTACAATACAAGCCTGTGGATGAACCACTTCTTCGTATTAAAGTCACTCGATTACTTCGTAGTAATGAATATGTATTCGGAACAAGTTTCTCTCATTTAGTCGGTGATGCTGCTTCAAATATTCATTTTCTCAATGATCTTAGTCGACTCTATCAAGATTTAGAACCTCTTCTACCTCGTCCTATCTTTGATAGACATTTGTGGACAAAAGAGGATGCTGACGTTTCTTTCCTGTCTAACTTAAAACCATATCGAAATGCCGATAAATGTGAGATAATTGCAACTAATTTTGCTCGAGATCAAGCAAATAGTGATCAACTCAATCTATCGTTTTCTTCGATACAACTTGCGAAATTACATAGTCTTGCTGGTGATAAAGATGAAGTAACGGTTCATGATGCACTTAATGCCTATATGATTGTCACTATGAACAATAATTCGATACAGATATCAAATGAATATTTTCAACGTGCTTATATTCTTGTTAATTATCGAGATTTATTACATTCAATAGCTCCAGTTGGTCATGTAGGAAATTCATTTGTAATCATGTTAACGTCAGATTTTCCAAATCCATTCTCTTTGATTTCTATTGCTAAGACAATTAGACAAGCGATTAACAAATGTCGTCATGAAGATTTTCTTAAGAAATGGATACCAACAGCTGATCTAATGATGAGACAAATTATTAAAGATGACAAATTAAATTGTGTATGGGATACAAATGAAGTTGTAATTAATTCTAATTTTAAATATGATTGGTCGAATCAAGTTGATTTTGGTATGACAAATCAATGTCGATTTCATACAATAACATCTTTAAAATCTTATTTTCGTATTTTTCGATTAAATCCTGTCAAAGACAAAGAAAGTCATTGGATAAAAGATCAAGATGGTGCTGAAGTTTCTTTTAGAATTGAAAAAGGTGCAATGAAAAATAAATTTTTGGAAACATATCGACACGATATCAAAACAAATTTTATCAATGTCGAATAATAAATATCTCAACACAAACACGAATTCTATAACACTGAATTTTTTTAAAAATATGTGCCGTCCGTTTTTTTTCTACAAGAATAGTAATGAAAAAACACATTAAATTGTTTTCATGATTTTCTTATAAGGTTAAAATTGAAGTAGTGTGTAATGGTAGAGCACTATAAAATTTTCTTCTTTCGATCCTCCCCTAAAAGTGGTATATTAAGATCAAGTGTTCTGTTGTAATACACAAACATATTTAGGATTATTTGCAAAATGTCAGGCTTCTAGGTCTTGTACAACGTCTTATTCTTACAATTCTTCCAGATCAATCATACTTCTTTTTTTAATGACTCACGAGAACAGTTTCGAACATTTATCTTATAAGAATAGAAAATTTGTTCAATGTACATGAATAATCACACACTTTTAGTATAGGCATGATGAGATCAAGAAAGTTCAGATCGGGCTCTGTGAAACAATTGATACTGTCCTGAGCAATAATTGAAGATAGTTCTTACTGAACATACGAATTAATAGAACACATTCTGAGCATAATTTTGTCAGCAGTGTTCAGACTTCCGAAAAAGGAAGTTTTGGAAGTTTCGGAAATTTCAAGCACTTGTGTTCTAAATTGTTTAATACTTCCAAAAATCATGTAATTTCCGAAATCCTGTACCTAGCGAAATTTCCGAAATTACAGAAATTTCTAAAATTTCCAATATTTCCAAGAAACTTTTATTTGCTTTGCTATGTAGTTATCGAGTTGATGGAAACTTCGGAAATTTCTGTAATTTCCTTTTTCGGAAATCTGAACATACCTCCAACTCTGATATCAAAATTACCCAAGGAGTACTTAAAAAATCAGGCAAACTGAAAAATATTTGACACTGAGTTTTTATTTAGAATAAAGGCAATAGTGAGCTGTCCGAAAGTCATGAGATATGTTTTTTATGTTGATTTTCAAGCTCCTTCGGATGAAGACCGATCAAGTCCTTATGATCAGAGGTCAGTATGCTTTACATATAGTCAAACTACGAGACTAATGTATTAAAGTGTAGGTCATTTTAACCTGATAGAAAGACTTTTTATGACTACTTGCTACCCAACATCGTATGGAATTATATGCTGGACAAGTGTATTATTCAGATCTGAGCCCGTATAAGTCGTTTTAGCTGCTAAAACTGAAATATCAACTAAATAAAGTTAGATGTACCTTTATAACGTATTTTAATCGAATATAGCAATGTATTGTTGATGAGGGATGGTATTTTGCTAAAGACATTAGAACCAGCCTTTAGATGTTTTTCAAAAAGGTTAGCGAAAAAAAATTTGTAACACTCCTCAGAAGTGAAGCATGTCAAAAAATTGATTTCAGTTACGTTCGCAAAGTGATCAGTTCTTTTTTTTCACGAGGTTCGTATGGTTGAATCGAGGGAAAAACACTAGGCTTCAAGCACAGAGACTTCAAATAACTTCATAGAATTTTTAGAAGATGTCAAGACTGAAGTCTCTTCTGCCTTCTCCTTGAATTACTTCAGTTTTAGCCTTATAAGAAAATCATTAAAACAACTCAGTGCGATTTTTCTTTTGCCATTCTGATAGAAAACCTGACGGCGCATCTTTAAAAAAAAACTCAAAGTTAATAAGATATTCTAATAGATAAAGAAAAAAAAACATTGCATGAATTGTATTCTTAATTAACGTGATTTACCGCCTTTTCATCACAGTTTCATTATTTTCATTGATAAAAATTCTGAGTAGTACTCTAACAATGTCTGTCGACAGCATTCGAAATCCGATAAGATGCTTCTGTTCATTTGTGGCTAAACATACAGATGATAATATATTTGTTTGTGGTCGTTACAAATCTGGTAGTATGGTTTGTCTATTTCATTTACATGATGAAAATGTTGAAAATTATTATCAATCGAATTTATTTTCATTGGCTTTCGATTGTGAAATGTGTTTGTAAGTTGAATAGGTATTTTTTTTTTCATTCATTTTAAATTTGTTTGATATAGAGCAACATTAAAAATTCATTCAAAAGAATATATTGCTCCATGTCGTCTAACATCAGTTCGATGTCATTGTGGTGATGTAGCAACATTTTATCAATCAAAAAAAGAAAATTCAAATAACAATACATATTTTTTTGGATGTTCAAATTGGAAAACTATGAGAAAATGTAATTTCTTCTCTTGGGCTCATGAATATAAAACAATACGGAATGAGCAAATTTTACGTCGTTTAACTTTTTCATCAACATCTGAAAATCAAATTAATTCAGAACAATCATGTAACAACATTTTGAATCAAGGTCATGATGAAATAAATGAAAAAGATCATGAAGAATTACGAAAACAAATGGAATGTGTTATCTGTTTATCAGCTCAAAAATCTCATTTAATATCTCCATGTAATCATTTATGCTGTTGTTCAACATGTGCAAAGAAAATTCAAAACCAATGTCCTATTTGTCGTTATCCTATTGAATCTATTCAACGTATTTTTTTTGTTTAAAAAAAAATATTTAATTGATTATTTAAATAATGAAAATAAATTATAATAAGAGACAGTATAGCTAGATAAAGAAAAGAACCAATAAAATTCTAATTTAAAAAAAAAATCATATTAAAGTATATTGTTTTTTTTTCTTATGCAAATTTTATTCGTGGAGATGTTTCTATTAAATCTTCAACAACAGTTGGATCATTTAATGTTGATGTATCACCTAGATTATTAAAATCTGGCTCAACAATTTTAAGTAAAATACATTGCATAATTTTTCCACTATGAGTTTTAAATAAATTCGGTCTAAAATATGTTGTATCAGGAAATATATGTGCACCAAGAAGATCACGTACAATTTTAAGGAGATCTTTGCACAGCACATTCGATTCTTCAACATTATTTTTTAATGTAGCAAAACAATACTATTAGAGTATATGCGTGCATTTCTTTCAAAATAATAGTTGCTGTTTTTGTATGTGAAGAAGTGTGGATGTCGGTGTACAACATGGTGGCGGGTGTGAAATAGTTTAACCACACCCCACACCCACGCCCACAATACTTAGTGAGGAAAATAGACTTTTTGTCGAAAAGAAACTAAAATCAATTTTCAGGCACACTTCGCTAGTTTTTTTTAAACCTCAATTTTAGCACTGTTTTATTTGGAAAAGTCTAAATTTTATTTAGTTCTATTTACTATTACAGTATTTTTGAATTCTTTTTGCATTTGCTGTTGTTACTTATCAGAGAACTTAACTAACCGTTGGCATTGTATTTAAATAAGTGAAATTGGTTTTGTATGGCAGCTCTTTCGATTTCAAGGTGTTAATCCCTTGATTACGTTTTCTTTTTTGCAAAGATTACAAAAAAAAATGAGGATTTGCAGGTATTCACAAAGCTTTAAACAATTTCGAGTATTGATAGCCTAGAAATTCTCACAGGTTTCTGAATCTACAATTTCTTTTTTCCATTTGATTTACACTTGTTTCTTCTATTGGTGATGATCACTGGAGTACTGAATTCACCAGTGACAAAAAGATAATTTAAATAACCATACGTATTTTTCTGGATGTTCAAATTTGAAAACTATTAGAAAACGTAATTTTTTTTATTAAGCTTATGAACACGAAACAAAATGGAATGAAAAAAAATTGTACGTTATGTAAGTTTTTCACCAACAACATGAAATTGACTGTAACCATTATGTAACAACATTTTAATTTTTTTTTGTTTAAAAAATAATGAAAAGAAATTTTAAGACAAGACAACATGTTTTGCATTTTTTTTTGCTATATTGACAACAATGAATACTAACCAAATACCTGGATAAGGAATATACATCGAAATATGATATGTAAATATAATTGATTTTAAAATGATAGAAAAAGACAAGAACTCGTACAAGCCTAATTTAAGAAAAAAAAAAGAATTATATTAAAGTGCGTTATTCATTTATTTTTTATGCAAGTTTTGTTCTTGGAGATGTTCTTATTAAATCTTCCACAACAGTTGGATCGTTTAATGTTGATGTATCACCTAGATTATTAATATCTGGCTCAACAATTTTACGTAAAATGCGTCGCATAATTTTTCCACTACGAGTTTTAGGTAAATTCGGTGTAAAATGTATTATATCAGGATAAACATGGGCACCAATAATATCACGTACAGTTTTAATGAGATCTTTACGCAGTGCATCTGATTCTTCAACGTTATCTTTTAATGTAACGAAACAATACATTCCTTGATTTTTTTTTGGATCAGGATAGCCAACAACAGCTGCTTCAGATACACCTGCATGTTGAACAAGAGCAGATTCAACTTCAGCTGTACCAATATTATGCCCTGATATAACGAGAACATCATCCTAAAGAATAATAAAAAGTGATTTAATAAAAAACAAACGTATTTTTGATTTATTTTTACGAACCACACGACCCGTTATCCAATGATAACCATTTTCTTTTATTTCACATCCATCACCAGAAAAATAATAACCAGGATATGGTTTAAAATAAACATCAACAAAACGTTCATGATTACGATAAAGACTACGTGCTTGACCAGGCCAAGAATCTCGAATACATAATTCACCTTGACAAGGTGTTTCTAATGGTTGTCTTGGTTTTTTATCGAATATTTGAGTTTGAATACCGAAAAACGGAAGTGTTGCTGAACCACCTTCTAATTTCCAAACATTTGGAATAGGTGTTATCATAAAACCACCAGTTTCAGTCTATAAAAAAAAAAATAATAATATACATATACATTTAGGCAAAATCCTTCTTTAGGCAACATGACAGAGTAAGAATATAAAAATCGACAACATGCTCTCATAACCGAAATGAGAAATTCGAAACTTATTTTTTCTGGCATTCTGAGAGAGATATTCACTAATTACTTTTTCATTAACAATTAGCTGAAATAGTCAATTTTTTTACATATGTCTACGGTAAATGAATTTTGAATACCATATGAAAGATGATGATGCCCTGCTTTGCTTGCAATGACTCATATATTTGTTAATAAAAAGAAATAGAAAAAAAAACAAATTTACCTGCCACCATGTATCAACAATTGGACATCGACCATTACCAACAACATTATAATACCATCTCCATGCTTCTGGATTAATTGGTTCACCGACTGTACCTAAAAGTCTTAATGATTGACGACTTGTTCGTGTAACAAATGCATCATCATGTGCCATTAATGAACGAATAGCTGTCGGTGCGGTATAAAATATATTTATTTGATGTTTATCAATAATATTCCAACAACGTGATACATCAGGATATGTTGGAATACCTTCGAAAACCACAGTTATTGCCTGATTAGCTAATGGTCCATAGACAACATCTATTTCAAAAGTATTATTGTAAAATTTTCATCATAAAAAAGAAAACGAAAAGAAAAACCGTTTTTAATTTACATGAATGGCCTGTAATCCAACCAACATCAGCAGTACACATATATATTTCACCTGGATTATAAGCAAACACATATTTAAATGTTAAACTTACATATGTTAAATAACCACCAGTTGTATGTAAAATTCCTTTTGGTTTTCCTGTTGAACCACTTGTATAAAGCTAGAATAAATAGATAATTTATATCTATTATTATTATTATTAAACATACAATAAATAGTGGATCTTCTGCATTCATTTGTTCAGGTTCACAATTATCATCAACTTTTTCTAATTCTTCATGTACCCAACAATCTCTTCCATTTGTCCATTCAAGTGAATTACGTTGTTCTGCACAATCATCTTTTGCATTTGTCGTACCATAATTTCGTTGAAAAACAAGTACAGTTTTAACACTAGTACATTGTTTCATTGTTAAAGCTTGATCAATTTTACTTTTTAATGGTATACATTTTCCACCACGTACACCAAAATCACTTGTTATAACAATTGATGCATCACAATCCGATATACGTTCTGCTACACTATTTGAACTAAAGCCACCAAATACAACTGAATGTATTGCACCAATACGTGCACATGCAAGTAATGCAACACATGTGTCAACTATCATGGGCATATAAATTGTAACACGATCACCTTTTTTTATTCCATGTTTTTTTAAGACGTTTGCAAATTTTTTAACTCTAAATAAAAGTTCACCATATGTAACATGATGACGTATTTCTGTTGGTGTATCTGGCTCAAATATAATAGCAGTTTGTTTAGCTACATTTGGATCTTTTTCAATATGTCGATCAAGACAATTATAACAAACATTAATTATTCCATCTTCAAACCATTTGATATCAACACCACGTTCTGTACGATAATCAAATTCAGTATTTTTTATTTTAGTTGGAAAACAATACCAATTTAAACGTTCAGCAGCCATTTTCCAAAAACGATTTGGATCTTGAATTGATAATGCATATAAACTTTTATATTCATCGAATGTTTGAATTTTATCTGGTAATGATGATTTATCCCAAATTGTTGTATTATTTGTAGTGGAATTATTTGTTAATGATGATGAAGTCATTTTGACTATTGAAATATGGACAGTTATAATGCACAAAAGGATGTCTGAAATATCTAAAAATAGATAGTATTTTGAAATAATATAAAACAAAAACGAAACAGAAAGAAATGTAAATCAAGCGCAATATATGTATGTTGTTTACCCGTTGTCAATGTAACTCATGAAAATACGCGACTTATTTTGGTCTATTCAAAACAAAATTGTCTTGAAACATCACAGATTATGTTCGTTCTTTAAGGTCATTGGATATTTATCGATGACATTTATTTTTGCTTGAGTGCAAACCTTATGTTTATCTGTTAGAGAGAATAAATTCAAATTGGAGGAGTGGTGCACCATTCTTCTTATGTATCTTGGCAAATAAATACTTGCACTAATCACGACAAGAAGAAGAGAAGAAAAAAAAACCTCGTGTTGCCCCAGTTTTTTTTTTCTCTTTTCTTTGGTGGAAAAAGAATCAGAATTATGACGGTAGTTGAAAATACAAACGATTACTAACGAAGGAGACAAAAATGCAAAATTACATTATCGGACTATTAAATTCTAGCGAATAATACTCTCTTTTATATTCTACAATGCCAGATAGTCTCATTTAATCTAGGGAAGTCTTTATCAATGAAAAACAAAAGAAAAAAGAACATGTTTCATGCTATTTTGTTTTTATATAATAATAGTTAAAATAGAGAAGATGACAACGATAAAATAGAGATATTCTCATCATATATATATATATATGTTGTTTTCTCTTTTACATGCGTCACACATCGCTCACTAACTCAAATATCGTTCGTTGATTCAAAGAGCGGAAAAGAAGCGTAAACATTATCACGAATCAGACTACATTTCAGTTCTTTTTTTCTTGGTTAGTCAAGTCTTGACGACTCATTCTCTTCATTTTTTTGTGCTTCCTGTTTGGGAGCTGATCTCTAATGATTGTAGGCTAAGAAAGCAGGAAGAAATTTTTTTTTTCTTTTTTTTTAAGTAACTATTGATTATCTTCGTTTTCCTTTTGGATAGTAATAAGAAACAAAACAAAAAGGAAATAAAAATATAACTTGCATTTTTGTTTTTATGCAATAACAGAAAAAAAAACATTCAAGAAAATGATTTAACTAAATAAGATAATTGAGAAAAGTTAATATAAGTTGATGATAACATTGATAAAAAACTATTATTTGAATGTCTACACCAATGTTCATTGACATTGTCGTCAATATAAAGATGATAAAGAAGAAATTTTATTATGCTAACAGTACTAATCGCTTCTGTTGACGTCGGAAAAACGATTGAATGATTCTTGCTATTAAAAATTATAAAATAAAATAAAAATTACAATTAACAAGAAGAAAGAAAAAATAAAAATAATAATACAAACTTCTCGGCAGGGAACAAAATTAATGTTGGATAATTGTATACTGTCAAATGCCACGGAAGATCATGTTTGTCAGCTTGAATTCTTAAAGAATAAAAAATATAATACTAAAGACTAATTATATAGAAATAATTCTATCTAACCTAGTAAAAATAAGATCATTGAATTTACTAAAGAATTTTTTTGTTTGATATAGAATTGGCCATATTGATTGACAAAATCCACACCATTTTGTATAGTAAACAACGAGTACATTCTAAAATTCATTTGAATTTTTTTATGATGAAACATTCTTATTATCATTGTCTATTTTAATTTATTACTTTATCAGTATTCAAAACAATGGAATGAAAAGTATCAGTAGTAAGTTCAATGAGTCTATTGGAATGTTCTGTGCTTATATTATTAATTGAAATTGTAGCTAATGAACGAGATCGTAAATTATGCGATACATTATAAATGAGATTATCTGAAATAAAAGAATATCATTATTAAACGGTTTTTATTTTTATTTTTAAACTTACATACAGATATTTTCAGTTGTAATGTCATCATTATTTAATATATAATGTTGTTCATTCTAATAAAACAAAAACAATATATTTATTTATTTATTAAAAAAAAATGCTTTTTTTGAGATTTTTTGCTGAGATTATAGTATTATAAGAAATCCTCTGAATGTTAATACTTTGATGTATATACTTCAAGAAAAATATGAGTCAAATATGCTTCATTAAATTCAGGAAAAAAGAAACGATGAATGTCGATACTTGACTGAAGAGAATTGTTGTTTGATATGAGTAGTACGACTAGACAATCATTCGCTTTTCTTTTCAATCAATACTATGTTTTAATTAAATAATATGAAAAGATTTATAAATAATTCAAGCGTAAAAAATCGATAAGATAGTCTTTTTCTTTCTTTTGTTTATTTATAGAGAATTTCACTTGATTACTAATTCTAAAGATTTTCTTTTATAACAGCAATTTTCCTACAGTTGAGTAAAATTTAAAATATTTTATTAATTATTATGGATAAGATATTTTTTCTATGTCTTTTTTTTAAAGTTTTTTATGATAAGAAACAAAAAACAGAGATAACAATTGCCAGGGAATTATTATTCAAATACGTCATATTTTTATATTAATACAGGTTTAAATAAATGATGATAAGCAATGAATTTCTGCAAGTTAAAGTTAAATTTTTTACTCAAATTCCTTTCTGCAACAGAAGACTTTGCTTGAACGAACGATGCAATGAACATAATAAAGAACTCTTCGTTATTCATTAACTTCTCACAAAATCTGAACTACTTAGGGCAATCCAAAAGTAGTGGCAGTAGCGCTTCAATGCCTTATAATAAGCTTAAAGAAACTTTCTCTCTGCATAGTCCGATAGAGGAAAGAATGCTCTATTTTTCTATGCTATTTGNCCAAACGGAAGAATGGGAAAATGTGCGGCTATATAGGAAAGATCCTAGGCTATGCAAAGATTTAATGTGGGTAGAAAATCGAGTAAAGCTTCTTCGATCGGCGGGATGCTTTCCAGAGATCCTTATAGAAAACCTGTAGGAATACGATGAAAAATTGTCTTTTTCTTGAATATCTACGTGCCCCAATCTCCTCTTTCGAATGGTGAAAACCTCAGGTCGCTAGCTACTTGCATTCCAGAGTTATTGTCGTTTTTTCACTCATCTTCTTTTTTGAAATGGATGGTAGTATCTAATTGTTTAAATTGCTATTCTAATGGTTTTCGAGCATCCACCATTTTTTTTTTCTAAAGTTTTGTTGTTGCTGTGTATTGATATTTTTAAATAAATTTAACATATGTTCAAGTGTATAAAAATTTTATTCAAGTAAAGCTAAACCCGATGCATATAATTGTGTTTCTTCTAATTAAAGAATTGATAAAGCTATCAAAAACATAAATTTATGAATTTTCGATTCAGCTGATAATAATGGTAATAAATGTATTAAACACATTATTATTAATTCAATTAAATCAATATCAGAAAACTCTGATCGAGGCCTTCATTTGGGCAAAGTTTCAGGTCGAAATTCGAAAAAATGATTTTGCTGTAGAACTAGGGTCCAGCAGGAAAAATCCACTAAAAATTCGGTATCTCTATCAAATCTCAATATGGGCACGAGTACTTTAGAGGTTTCTCTAATCTAGTGGTCCCCTACCTAATTGGCAACATATGAGCTCAAAAGCTTTTAATCATTTGGGAATGTTCCCTCGTCAACTGAAATTACAAGTTTGTGTCGATAAATTAAATGTGCCTAATGCTCTTATGCAATGTGATGTATTCAAGAACAAAGAAAGTCAACCATGTCAAATATTCATTAGTCAGTTGTTGAGTAGAAAAAGCTAATTCTCTTTATACAATGCTATTCATCTTTGTTGCAGTGGTATAAATACATCTTGGAAATCGAACCACACATTGAAGAATATAAATTTCATGTTGCTCTTGGCGTCATCAAACTGATCCATGAAGTTTGTCACTGTTGTACGAGCATTTTCTGTGAATTTGCATCTCTGATTAACAGGGGAAAAAAAGTAAGCTCTTCTTTAAATAAGGGACACTCATATATATCTTGCTTTTTTTGTAGGATCAAAGTCACACCACCAAATATTGGACGTAAGATTGTTATGACGTCTCCTAATGGCAAAGCTTCATCATCTAAACGAAAACGTGATGAGTTGAATTGACACAGATGTGAGAATTTGTCGAACAGTAGGATGTTGACGATGACATAGGAAGAAACTTAACTAACTCACTATTATGCAAAACACAACATGATTGTGCTGAGATTTATTTACCTCTCTATAGATGCTCACTTTCTATGTGTTCGATTTCATTTATTATTTGAATCTGACGTTCTGAAAATATTTTGATGTAAAGATCATATTGTATTCTCTTCTTTTGTAGGTATCTTGAAAACAAGAATAACCAATAAATCAACAAAAGGAATTGGTAATATGGATTATGGTGGTGAACAAATTCTTTTAGGTGGTCGATTATTTCCTGTATTAGATAATTCAATTGATAAAAAATTCAAGGTATATTATCGATGCTTATTGATGTAAATGATCTTTTTTTTGTTTCAGATCATCGGGTTGCGTCTAGGTGTACATGAAAAATCGTCGGTTGCATCCAGTAAATATACTGTTGATTTAAATTTTATTGACACATTGTTTGATATCGATAAGCTGAAAGGTAAATATTAGTAAATGAGTATTTATGGTTGCAATTGTCTATTCCTTAATTCTAGTAATCAATGATCTTAATCAACTGACAATTAAATTGGATAACCCACTTGAAGCTGATCGGCAAACAAAAACTATATGTCATGCTGGTCCAGTTCGTTCAAAACATCATAAACTTCGACGAACTGATTCGGATTCATCATTGTGTTAGTATTTTTAGTTTAAATAATGTGTAATTAAAAATTTGGTTTATCTCTACTAGCGTCGACTAGCCTCAGCAGTAGCACCTCTATTGAGGCGGATGATTTACATAATATCGATCCAAATGATCCAAATGTCATGTATAGACCATACTATTTGCCTCCTCCAGGTTTCATTCTTCGTTCTCCAAACTCGACAACGTCGGATGATGATGATGATGGCACAGAAGTACGTATTAATGGTATGCCATCGTACTTTCGAGGTAAGTCTCTTATCTATCATTCTTATTCTTATCTCATTTTGATATTGTAGATTAGTGCGACTTATGATCTTTCGACAATACTTTATGAACAATATGTATATAACAATTAATAAAAATTTCAACATGATCTCGATTTTTTTTTGATACGGTAAATTATTCAACAAAGTCCTATAAATTAGTAAAACCTACATAATCGTAAATAATTAAGTTGTGTGATTGTTATGACACGTACATTATGATTTGCTATAAGAAAAAGTTGTTCAAGATATTATCTCTATATGTTCGTTTTCTTTCGTTCTGTCAGATATTTTTTCTGTATTTTGTTATGTTTATTGACTTTCTTTATTATTTCGATATGATAACTCATGTATTTTTTTCAAACTTATTATGTTATATATTTTGGTAAATTCCACTTTGCTTCTAATATCTGATATAATAAATACTAATTTTTTGTAAGTAAAGAGGAGTGTGATCAAAGAAAACATAATAAAACACCTTCACACATCAACATTATTATCAGACATAAAATGCATCATCATCATTATCACCATCATCACATGAATAAACAATCATTTGATATATTATTGATTAAACTTATGCTAATATTGATTCATCATATGATAATGAAAGTATAGTATTTATGTTAGCATTTAATAAATTATGTAGAAATGGAAATAGTTGTGAAAAACTATCATACTTTATTTAGATAATTATTTGTAATCAAATTCTCATTTCATTTTCATCAAATGTACTTAGGACAAATGTTGCTAATACTGTTAAAAGAAATACTTATCTTAATATATCTATTAGTACATCGGGATAGAAGAAAAACTTTACTTCACAACTTGTCTAAAATTGAAAAAGAATTATTTTTGTTATTTTTTAAAACTATCTTAATTTTTTACTTGTGATATTTTGTGTTTCAGGTGCAATTTATGGTGTAATAGTAATAGTTAATACTATTTTGTTTAACTTGTTGTAATTGAACAAATATTGAAGTTTGTTTTATTAAAATACGTGACACAAAATGTGTTCAATAATCAAATGAATACTAATAACGTGCATATAATGGAACATAATAATCGAGTAATATTAACAGTTAATACTCCAGCAACTTTTCCTGTTTTTTCAATATATGATCCATTCCAAGTTTTTTTTTCCATAAAAAAATAAACTTTGTTGAACATTAAATAATGTTGAATTCGTTGATAGATTTTTGTTAAAATAAATAATGATGGTAAACTTCCATTTATACGAACAAAAACAGTAACTTATGTACTTGAATATGATTGTTATAACTGAGATAATAGATAAACTATTGGTATTGAAGGATAATTTGCTGATAAAATATTTGTTGAACAATTTCGATTGGTTGTTCTTAATGAAATAATATTTGATCGATTTTTAACTGGATATCGAGCATGAACGTTTTCAACAACATTAATTAATGCAGTTAAATATAATATTGATGTTGACATTAAGTGAAATTTAAGAAAAGATTTTGATTTAGCAAGTAATATTATGAAGAATTGAAAGAATACGAGTTGTATATATAACAGTTGATTGAACCGAATGATGAAATTCTAAATTTGCTTTTCTTTTGTTTTGAAAAGAATATTATTAATTCTTATTTTTCTTATCTTATCATTAGCTTTCGCAGAAGAAAAAACAAAGAAAAAAAACCTAAGATTCAATTCTCTTTCGAAATAAAAAATCATCAATAAAAAAGAACAATAGAATTTAAGGCACAAACTATATTTTAAGAAACTACAGACGAATTTGAATTAAAATATGAGACTATTCGTATAATAGAATCAAGATCAGTACTTAGAAAAGCAACTTACTTTATTGACTTTTAACGTATCGGCTAGATATTGTACTCTATTATCTGTGATTTAATTTTCAGACAAATACAGATGGGTTAATGTCTATTGAAAAAGGTAAAGAAAATTATCAAATTTACTTGTGAACATTGTTTAATGTCTTTAGTTATGTAATAAAACAAATTCAATTAACTGTACTCAATATTAATTAGTTTCTGATGGAAGATTGATAGCAACTTTAGACATTTTATTAGAGAGGAACTTCAAACTATATCCTGATGTTATTTGCTATTTTCCTGTAAGTATAAGAGAGGTTTTCGATTATAATTCACCTCAGAAAGAAAAATATTATTCTCATAAAATAATTCATATAATTTAAACTATTACTATTATGTTACTCTTCATCTCAAGTAGATGGGCTAACTCTAAATTTTAGAAGTATCTAAAGATTGATTTGATCGAGTATAGATAGAAGCAAATCTCTTGAAAAATCACAATAATCAATGGTTGATTAAGTTCTATTTCAAACTTTAGAGTCTTTTTCAATTATTATAAATTATTTTCAGTTAAAATCTAACAAAATATAAAACCAATGAAAGAAATGCAACAGTTGTTTAAATGCAAATGGAAATCATTTATATAAACTTGGCTTAAGATTCATGTGTTAAATGAATAAACTGAAATGAATATAATTTACGTGACATTGTTTCTGCTGATAATAAATTGTACCAGTAATCATATCAAGAATTTAATCTTTCAATTTTATTTAAGAATGAATAAGAAACTCTTTTAATGTAATTTGTCAAGATTATCTGGGTATAAAGAAAAATACAACAGATTTTTGCCTTAGAATTATACTGAAAACAGCATAAATACACTTCCTTAAAAATTAATATTCAAAATAAAATAAATCATTTTCAATATTTGCAAAGCGTTTAAGTTCTGCAAACATGATGTAATTACAGTTCAGAATATCTATCTGAATAGATCATATTGTAGTGGTTTAATTCAAATGTATTCATTATATGACTCTTAATAGATATAACAGTTTTTAATCATTAGACTATTAACAATCATAACACAAGTAGAAACCTTTCAAATGTATTATAATATAAAGAAAAGGATTCGTTTACCTATATTTTTCTACATAGAAAAATGATTTCACATACAAATCAATTGAGAAAACTAAGTTCTTAAGGCTTTTCTCCCATCCAAAACAGTCACTTTCGGTCAGACTGTTCGAAATTGAGATAAATATATAGGAAGATAGCTCTTGCTCTGCTCTCTGAGAAACGACAAAAATTTGTCCCCAGTAGTTTCGTTTTTCCGTAAAATTTTCAAAATTCTCTTCATCTCCAATTCGGCAAAAATAAGCCGTTTTAAGAGAAAAACCGAAAATCTTTCTCATTTTTTCTCAATTCATCATATATCGAACGCGCAATCCAAATTTCTCAGCGTAGCTTAATTCAACATAACTCAATTTTTCTGTTTGAATCAGCATTTCAAGGTACAATGCATTACAGAGTTCGTTTTTTTCTTTCAGCTTTTTTTAATAACATAAAAAATGCCTCTATGGAAAAACCGCCATTTTATAGACAGGGTATGGGTGTGGGTGTGGGTGTGGGTGAAGATGAAAAGAAGTAAATCCGCACCGACACCCGCACTTACATCGACACCATCAGAAGTGTAGAGGAGTCAAAAACTTTTTTTTTTAGGGATTTTTTTCTGTACCATTCTATGCAGGTGTCATTAGCTGATTCAAAATATCCCATTACTTTCAAATAAGAACGAAATTTGAGTGAAAAAGGTGCTTTGGATGTTAAGACCATTGTAAGCATTTTTTTAGTATTTTGCTTACAACTTTTTCGGGCCGAAATATTTTTGCGAGATGTTTTCACACTGCTATTACACTCATTATTAGCAAGTTTTTTTGTGCAAATATCTCATTACGGCACGTCTTTCTCTGAGTGCTGTGAGTCAATATGTAGAAGTATAATCTCTTACAGATGCTATATTTTTGCTAAGATTCTCGCTCTAGTATTCTAGTGAGGTGTAATATTCGAATTTCAAATATAGAGTTTTGCAGACACTTAAAAGCTCTATCGAATTCTATGTGAATGCATTTCTGAGGCATCTTCATTTTGTTTTACTGCAGCATTTTCTCTGGTCAGATACAAAAAGTGCTAAATAATATTGTTTAAAACGGTTCACAGCTACGACAATGCCTTTTGAAAAAATAAATATGCAGTAAGATAGCCCTTTCAGTTCTCTACAAAACCCACATCAATCAACTTTAAAATAGTGCGACAAGACAAAAAAAAATAAAAAAAATTTTACAAACCGGGCTTGGCCGGGGATTGAACCCGGGACCTCTCGCACCCTAAGCGAGAATCATACCACTAGACCACCAAGCCAGCATTCACCTCTGCAAAGAATAAACATAACCTACATACTAGTTATCAATCTTGTTTGAAATATTTTTCAAATGAGTTTTTTGAATTTTTGTAATTTCAATGGATTCTTTTCTATTTCGTTCAAGTTACATAATTATCAAAGTTTTACAAGATGAAATTCGCTGTTGAATAATGATTCTCTGAACTAATGTCAAAAGCAAAAGTATCAAAAGATAAAAATGTGGTCTACGTATGGATCTTGTATTCCCTCACATCCATACCCTTATTGAGTACGTTTTACTCCAAAAGCAATAAAATATACCAGAAGATACCGTCTGAGCAGCTGTATAAGTTCTAATAAAAATAATTATTTTATGTATGTGCAATCATTGTTGTTAAAAATGACTGAGTTCTTGGCGAGCAATTTCAGATGTTTCCAACATCATCATTCTTTGGGTTAAATGATCAAAACGTGTTTCTATTTCACTGAGAGAAGCCAAATCTATTCATGAAAGAAAAATATTTTATGCCAGAACGTGTCTATGTTACAAGTTGACGTATAGCAGACGAATAAGCGAACATAATCCAATGGGTTCACCATCCAAAAAGAAGTATGGCGTATTGTGACTGAGTGTATGTGTGGATGTAGGTACAATGAAACTATATTCTCACATCCACACCCAGACTACGGAATGTATTCAGATTTTTACATAATCCATAGGACAAATCTAACCTATAGATATCACGAATAATTAATTGTTGCTTATTTTATTCATCATATAAAAATGCTGTTGATAGGTTTACAAAATCGATTAGTTAGTTACGGCTGTCAAGAGAAA